AAATGGGGAGCTTGAAAACCAACGAAGTGATGAAAGACAGTGTCTAGTTGGTATTTAAAGCCAGATCTGTCATTGAGATATGAAAACCTATGACGCCAATGGGACGAAATTCCGACTCTTTCCTCAAGTATCGGAAAAACAAACGAAATAGGGAACGATCGATGTTCCGAAAACAAAGTAGTTTCTTTGAATTTCCATAACTAACCGCCACAGTTTTAGCTCTAACAGTCGGTCCACACAAAGAAGAGCAACCAAGACAACAGCAACCTAATGCTGATTTGCTCGTCTTTAAAACCGAAAGTTGATCGCGGGGGCATTTCATCAACAACAATTGTTTGCGAGAAGTGAGCTCTAAATTGGTTAGGGCAGCCGGTTTTTATCCGCACGGTAACGTCAGTTGTCCTAGCAGAGGTGAAGCGACCTCAGATAACGTCAGAAATAAGTTAAAACATTCCAGCAGAGATTGGCATCCTCTCTTAACGGAACAACCCGTCAATTTCGTTGAAAGAAATCATAGATCACCACTTGGAAACTGGGTTGACAATAGAGTCCACGATGAGCACGCTAAGAACCACTGCAGCAGAGAATCGGGTAGGCATGTGTCGGGCTTCCGGTAGTATATGTGTACAGTAAAACGAGCATTACATTGGTTCACACTGAAGTCAACAGTAGTAAAAGCAAACGTTCAAGCAAACATGGAAACGTGTCCTGACTGTCCTCTCCGGTCAATCCTTGCAAATTCCCAATGATAGCCTACGGCGAGGAAAGAAAACGTGTGTTGTTTGACCAGCGGTTTCGATTACGTTCACCATGTGCTCAAGACCAGAGACGGTAATGGAGCTATAAGTAGGAGATTTTAGTAAAATAGACGCGCAGCTGTCTACCTCACTAACCCTCCACCACGTTAAAGCGGTGACAAGACCGAAGTAGAAATGACCGAGCAGGCTTTGGGCGGAAGCCCCTTTCTCCAGTGCAAGCCGAAACACCACCTAAACGTAGCCTTTAGTGACAGTAGACTTTGCGCGGGTACTACTGCACTGTCTACCCTCACTCACATATAGTAGGTGTCTAGCCAGACTCAAAGAAGCCAGGGCTGGTACTGCTACTACCACTACTGTTATTTCTTATAATACTAACTAGGGTGTAGCTGAGTGATCGTATTTGCTGGTACTATTACTAACTGTTTTGTAAGTCAGAAGTGACGCTGATTAAAGGCATTACTGGGCTCATATCCCCTCAATAAGTGTTGTAGTACTGGTGCTGGAACTGATGCCACCATTGTTCATAGGTGACGCACAGTAAGCCAACGCTAGGGCTCATACCCCTTGGTTTCAACAAAGAGTGTGAATCTGGGTGTAAGTTATTTCGAGTAAGTGCATGCTTGGCGCCCTGAACACAAGAGCGATTGCCTTGGTTTCCACACTCTAAACTTGATCAATCGAGCTCTACGGACTAAGATATTGCTGCTATAGGTACGTGCCTATGCTAAAAGTGCTAAATTCTAATAATCGTGCTTACTAAAGCCAGTATATAGTATACTATTGGTATTGCCTGCGTGTGCTTTTTAAGAAATCGCATCCAGTATGCACTCCCAC